AAATAAATAAATAACAACACTAGAGCCCCCCACCCCCCTTTCCGATCTCACTGCTCTTATGCCTCTTCTCTGATGGATTTGTAAAATGATATAACGAATGAGACTTAAAGTGAGAAGGAAGGAGGGAGGCTGGGTAGGAGGAATGATGGCGGCGAGGAAGTAGACAGAGCATATGATTTATTAGACTCATAAAAATTCTGCCTTTGTTATTCCCTCTCATTTTTATATGTGAAGCTTATTAAAGAGCACACCTGCCAGAGTTCTCAGACAAACTTATGTGTGTGTGTGCACACATTATGCATTCAGAATGATGTCAATGTGCATTTGTTCACACTCACTGCCTGGATGCTTAACTCTGGCTTCTGTTTCTTAATCATCCCTGCCCATAGATGCCAACTCTTCCTCCCATCGTAACCCCGCCTCCCAAAGGGTGTTCAGGACACGCTACAAGATGGTGACCCATCTGGGCTCCAGTGCCATGCAGACCCTCTATTACAACCCAGCCCTTTCCTGGCGTGCCAAGAGGATCCAGTCTGCCAGGTAATCCACGTTATCAGATACTTCCTCAGGTCTGGCTTTAATGTGATTCAGTCTCTAATATCTTTCAGTGCAGAGTGAATGCCTGTCTTTTATGTTACAGTCATGTGTAGCATGAGTGGTAGGGGTCGAAAATTTATGGTGTTCATTTTTACACAGTAGATAACCCAGAGAATAAACCATTTACAATAGTGTGCTCCTCACATTAATTTATACCAGCAGGGAACACATCAAATCCAAGGCGGATACAGAGAGAGAGGGAGCTGGGTGGTTGGGTGTTTTTATTTATTTATTTATTTTTTAATGTCATTGCAGCCCTCATCTCTCACTTTTTCTTTATCTTCATTCATCAATCTTTCACCTTTGTCTTAGTACTTCTGAGTTCACAGTGAATGCATGTTAATTGGACTCACTGGTTTTATCATTCATCTTTTTTTGTCCATCAAAATTGTCATTAAAAATGCAAACTGTTTTATTTCCAGAGTCACAAAGAGATCTCTTTATTGGTGTTTTCAAATAGATTCATTGTATACCACATTTGAAAAGTTGGAACCAGAAAGCTATGTCAGTTAATCAGCTAGTCATTGCAGCACCCATATTTTAAGCCCTCTAACAAAGAGAATGGAGGTTGTTTTGTGTCTTTTTGATATGGTGCTAAGAGGAGGTCAAACTCCTCTTTATGTGATGTGATATCCAAGGTTTTGTCACTGAGAAAAAATTCACTCTTGAATAATCTTTTCATAACTGAGAGTTGTAAGCTTAGCTTAAACACTGAAATCCCTGAAAACATGGTTGTTCCAAGGTTTTCCAGAATTATGTTGCTGCCTTGGTTCCCAGGGCGATGGTGGTTGGGTGAGGTTGTGTATTTTATTCTAAATGCGACTGGGATTTACAAAATTAACATATTATGTTAAAGATCAAGTGAAACTAGCAGTTCAGAAAAAAATCAAGAAACATTTTCTCATAGACTTCTTCACAGTCAGACCTCGTTTTAAAATTAGTGGGTTCCCCCCTGCTGGCCAGTTTCAAGAATGCATGTTTAAGACGCCTAACACTAAGATCTAAAGAATAAAGAATGTGATTTTTTTTTTTTTTTATGTGTGTAAGATTATTTTCTATGTTTCTTGTTTGCCAAGACTTGGAAGAACAGTTTAAATATAAACCATAATTCAATTCTCTGGTTTCCTAAGAGTTAGATTAGGGGTGTTTTGAAACCGAGATGACATATCTGCTTCATTTCTTTGTTGCAGTATATGAGATGAACTTGTTTGGTACACATAGAAAGAATAAAGGTTTGGCCCATGCAAAAAGTTTCAGTTTAACATAACAAAGTTTAGAAAGAATCAAGTTCAACTTTATGCCTCTGAATTACATAGTGTGTCACAGACCTTAGTGAACAGATTTCATGCTGCTCTGTAGTGCTAGAAAGGAGTTCGATATGTCTACAGCTGTCACTGTTGGTAAGTTCAACAGTGCTGTCTTTGTCATTTAGATTGTGCGATCTTGTAATTTTTTCGCGTAGCCACTTGTAATGAAATAATTTTGTGTATTTGTTGTGTGTGTTGATGATGAGCAGAGTTAATTTGTGCAATCCAGATTTGGTGAAACAGAAGACCCTGGACTGTGGCTGGACTCAGCGTCTGGTGACTTATTACTATTCATTTAGCTGCTGCAGTAAATATTGATTCATCAAGGGATTTTCAATTTGAGCCCCCTGACATCCTGTGAAATATCACCACATGTGTAGAAGTGAGGAAAGAGATAGGGAGGGAGGGGGACACATCGGGTCCCCAGGGAGACTCGTACCCCCACCCCACCCTCATACCTGCTCCTTTTTTATGCTTTATCTATCTGTTTAACTCCAAAGACCACCACCACTTTTATCAATTTGAAGCTATTGAGTGGAGCATGAGCTCATATTCTTTGCTCTTAACTACTGAGTACTCCTCTTCATCTTTGGCCTATCAGACCCGCTGGTCTCGCTTCATACCTTCTCAACTCTTATCTCTGCCTGCCACAGCTGCATCTTAGAAAACATACCATACATGTACCTGACCGCTCAGTAGTCCAGAGGATCCCAATGTGTTCAGATAACCTGTAGAGAAAAGCCATTGATTAGATATTTAAAAGTGGTCTGGTACCATTTAATTCATTTTTGACTTTCTTGTTAAGACTTAATTCAATGATATGTATATATTAAAAAATATATTTTTTTGTTTGTTTTTTAAGAAAAAAATCTAAACACATTTTCCCCTAAAGTTCTGTCTGCATTCAACAAAAATGATTTCAAGGACTGAACATAAAGCTTGCCTAAATAGCATGCACTTGTAGGCGCATGTATCTGTGGTTTGGTAAAGGTCATTGAGAAACATTATTTCTTATCTTGTCCAAAAAAATAAAAAATAAAGGTGAGCTTTGTGTATCATACATATGTTGACAGTCAAAGTGTCACTGAGTTCCAGGCCGAGATTTGTGAGCAATGTTTTGGTTGCCTTAATTAAAAGCACGGGGATGTCCTGGATAATATTATTGTTGCCACTGGCCTCTGTTACGGACTATGTTCACTCTGTTCCAATCACCCATCCTACTTGACAGCATTCACTTGCTTTTTGGGTATTTCAGTTTAAACTTTTGAAAATTGTTCTTGGTGACACATTTTAGAATGGGTACTAAGAGTGTTAAAACTGAAACATGCACCTGCAACACTGAGAATATTCTGCTTTATGGGCTTTTTTTGAGGCTGATGGTGGTGCCTCTATTAAGAAGGCGGGGTTTTTGTGCTTAAGGAGTTTAATTTAACTAGTTTTACTTAGTTTTTGGTTTTAACACAACAGTTTATCTGTAAATATGTGACTGGTAAAACTGATTTTTTTTTTTTAACTTGTCCTTCTCGTCCATTTAGTTGCACAGATGTCTTGCTCCCAGGCCCACAGGAAGTGAGGTTGCCTCTGCCCAACATACCGTTCTCTCTCCTAGTTTTAGCCATAACAGGCATGGTGTGTGATTTAGAGCTGGGTGACAGTTTGAAGGGGCGGGGGAATCGGCTGCAGTATTTCAGGCCCCGCCACCAGAAAATAGATATAATCTCAACATTAACTCCATTAATAGTATCAGGAGTTGAATTAAGAAAGCTGTAAAGCATGCACTCTGGAGGATAAATTACAGCCCAACCCTCCTTTCATCTCCCTTGCTATTTTTCTCCCCACGAACCACTCTTTAATTTTCTGTCCCCCTATGTTTGCTCTGTTGCTGTTCTTTCTTGTGTTTTATGTCTTTCTGTTTGATAAAATTTCTTGTCAGTCTTGCAAATGCCTCCATCTTTCTCTGCTTTATTTCTGGCATAAATGTTAAGGCCCTCATGCATATGCATACATACATACTTTTGTGTATGTATATATAATATGTACACACACACATCTGGTCCAGGCGCTCATCTCCTTTAGTGCTTCAGTATTGATCAGTACAGGATGTAAGAGACTGGGCAATAAAGTGAAGCAGCGCTCCCTCTTCTTCACTTCTCTCTTCTTTTCCTGCATTCACCACCCCATTCATTCCACTTTATACCGCAATTCATTCCTTTGCTCATTACTTATCACATTAGTCATCCACCTCCCACCATACAGTTGTGTGTTAAGATTCTCTTCTGCTGCTTTTTAATGCTGAGTTCTCAATAAATATGTTTTATTGTTACTTTCTACACTACAGTCAGTTCCCCTTACGTTGGATTTGAAAGGATCCTGATGCGTAACTTGGCTGCTTTGGTTTCCTTTAAAAGTGTGAAGAAGAGCAGCAATGCTCTCGGTTAGAATTAGCCAGACAACTGTTTTTGCTGTGCTCTGTTTCAAGGGTAACTGTTTCCCAATATGAGCTTACTAATGCTGGGGTTGCAGACAAATAAGACAAGGGCAGCATTATTCTGAGCAGTTGCGCGACCCTCCAAATTCTTCCTTGTCACTAAAACAAAAGTCGGATCATTCATCAACGGCACCGGTAGTGCTGAATCGCGCTCTCCTTTATCTGTGCATTGCATGGTCAGAGCACCGCACATACACACACCTGCATACACATATACAGAGTCAGACATACTGGATGGTCTCAAGAGAGTTTCTTTGTAGCCTTGCCCTGTCCTCTAGTTCTCTTGTTTTTTCACACCATATTTTTTACAGTTGTTTTTTGATGAGTTTAAGATCTTTTACTGTCTGTGACCTCCAATCTTTATTTTATGCTTTCTAGCACACTTAAAAGTGTAAAGATTACATAAACTGTGCTTCAGGGCTGAACAACTTTGTTAATTTGTAGAACTTTAATCTAAAAGGAAATTCAATTTTCCTATAAATTAATCAAGCAAAAACGCCTCCCCATTCTCTTTGAGCTCGTCTTATGTCTGTGTAATTTTAATTTGTTTGTGGTTTTGACTGTTAATTTTCTGCTAGTTATAAGATATTTAAAGAAAATTTTATTTTCAGTTAATTTGAGAAATTGATAATCGCATTTTTACGCACCCCGGAAAATGATATTTTGAGATTTTAGCAGTTCTGTGCAGAGAGAGAGATGAAAAAGAAATGTAAACTCAAACCACAGTTTGAAATCATTTTTACTAATCACAAAAAGAAATTGTTGGTATTGCAGGCAAGAAAAAAACTGCAAAGTACAGATTTTTATCTCTATCTAAGCTCTCCCACTAACAAAGGGGCGCTGCTGCTGGTTCAATATGGTGAAGTGAACAAAGACCGGCATGGATTATTTCATTGTCACAGTATCTGAGCCGCCTTGTAAGCTGTCATCGGATCTGTGAGCGGCATCAATTGGCTGTATAAGTGCATTGTACAGATGGAGATAGCTGCTAATTATTATGAAGGAAGGACCAATAGAAACAATTTCACTCACCAAAACTGAAGCATAACTTATTTTTATTGCCTTACAATAGCAAGTCATATTATTTGTCAGAATATTTCATTAAAATGCTCCAAGAAGCACCAACAGCACAAACACAAATTACCAGAGGTGAGACCTAGCAGGCCCTGTGCTGGACTGGCAACATTCCCAGTGACAGCCCTGTGACAAAGCCTTGAGAGCCTCAAGTGGCCATTTAAAGAACTACAGTTAAATGCTGGCTTCATTTTTTGTGTTCTCTGGAACTTACTGTTATGTTATTTGTTATGAACAAGCCATGTGTGAACCAGTGTGACTCATTGTGTGCACCTCTGTGTGTGCATGCAGTTCAGAGCTGCACTCGTTTTGTCTAAGAAAAGACGTTCTTTCGCGATGTTTTGTCTTGGTGTTGCCAGACGGTTTACCAGCCCAGTCTTTGGCATTGAGAATGGACTACATTACCCCCAAGTTAAGTGTCCTTAAAGATGAATGAAGGCCCTTTAACGATAGTTTATAAAACCCACACAAGATTACGCTCATCAAAAATGAATCTGTTACATCACAGTGCTGCCTACTTAAAAGTAACTCATTGGTTGATATTTTTATCACAAGAAAATGGTATTGCTTTTTCAGAACTTCAGCATCAGCAACATTTTCCTCCACTAATGTTGTAGCTAAATTGAATCTTTTTAAATGGACTCCTGTGAAAAAACTATTCAAATTCAAAAAACACTTTATTACAGTATCAACTATCCTATATGCGATAAATAGCAGTCATATGCTGTGTTATCAAAGGCGGCATGTGTGTCAAGTATCAGTAAATATGGCACCTTTATCTAAAAAGGAAAGAGTTTTTGTAGTTTTCTCATATAGAATATTCAGGTGTGTGTGTTAACACAATGACACAATATTCCCAGGAGTGGACATCCCAGGGTCTTCACCCCAAGTTCAGACCACGCAGTGCTCAAATAAATTGCAGAAAAACCCAGTATCTAAATCTCTCAGCACGTTAAGAGTTAAAGTTCATAACTGTTTATAACAATTAGAACAAGACTGAATACGTATGGCTTGTTTGGAAGTGTTTCTAGAACACAACCTCTTCTTTCTAAAGACAACATGGAAGCATGGCTTAGCTTTGCAGAGTTGCATCCATCTTCCTCCTCTCACCCCCAGTTGGTGACGGCAAATGGCCACCCCTACCCGAGCCTGGCTGAGTTCTGCCATAGGTCTCCTCCTGTTAAAAAGGAGTTTTTCCTTCCCACTGTCCACAAGTGCTTGCTCAGTGGGAGTCATGTGATTGTTGGGGTTCCCTCTTTATTACAATTTATAGACATGACTGTTATTATAATTAACATAAGGATTGAACAAAGCTTGAACAGATCTTAGTTTGCGAGATTAGAGGTGTGTACATCAAACACTTATAATTTTTGTGCCAAAGGGAACAATTGCTCTGTGATGGGGACGGCACACATGAAAGTAGTCATGCACAGACATGTGAAATCACTGGGACGATTGCTCTGACACTTGTATGTATGACTTGTATGAACATATGAACCCGGTGAGAGAACATCCTAACGTCACCCCTTGACTGCAGCCCTGTGTCAGGGTTAACTGCCGTCTGTGTTAACTGTTCATGTCATATCCCCATTAACCTCCATTGTGGCTCCCTAGGCCACCCAGTCCTTGTTTAAGCCTCCCTGGGTGGCAGTCAGTGCTCCAACATTAGCCTCCATTACAGCTCCCCTGGCTGCAGTTGCCCTGTGTAGGGCGTCCACTGATCTTGTATCAGTGAAACTGAGTGTCTGTGCTGCTGAGTTATGGCACACAGTCTAATAGAGCGTGCATGTGAACACAGCTGATGGCTGATATTATTTGCAGCAGTGCAGCAGCTCTGCACGTGTTAAGCATCCATGTCAGTTGTTTTGTGCGCGCCATGCGTTTGGGGTAACCCTCTCTCTCTTTTCTGTAATGGGAGGCATGAACTCTCGCTCTAAACCCATTTCCAGCCCATCTGAAATACGGCAGCAAATTACCTCCAGCGGCGCCCTGCACACTAGCCCAATCCGCCCCAAATAGAAGTGACAGGACAGCGCAATTTATCGCCATAACCCCTGCACCGCCCCACCACCACCCAGAAGCTCCACACACACTGTGGACTCGCACGTACAGATGCCGCACACATACACAGGCCAACCGAGGGACTCCTGAATCTTGAACCTGTGTGCAGAGGCCTGTGATTTTGTGTACTGTACATACCATAGTAGGAATGTGTTGTAATTCTATGTGTGTGTGTGTGTGTGTGTGTGTGTGTGATCTCTACACTCAAGTGTAGGGGCCAACCGTGCTGCTCTGGCCCCCTGCCCTGCCTATTATCTCATTGATTTCCTTCTCTCCTCTTTTCAATTCTCTCCATTTCCACACTACCGTCCTTTCCATTAGAGGAGCAATTTAACAGAGTGCTGTGACATGAGAGAGAGAGAGAGAGAGAGAGAGCGAGAGAGGGGGGACTACAGGATGGGAAACATAAAGTGAAGAGAGGGGTTATACTGAGAGAGCTGGGGAGAAAGGATGGGTAAAAGAAAGAGGGTGAGCGGAAAGTCTTCTAGCAGATGGTTTTCTCTCAAAGCAATGCATGAATGAAAATTTTACAGTGTATTAACTGGGCTGAGTGGATAATTCCAAGTAGCAATAAACCAGAATTGGGAGTAATTTGATTTCCTCAGATGTTTCCTTATACCATCTATTCTTCTTTTATTTGAATCCCTTTTTCTCTAAGGAGTTTCCTTCAGAGCCGTCTTCGAGCTCCCCACGACAGACACCCGTCATCCACCCAGCAGTGGAGAGGAAGCAGCATGTGCTGGATTCGTGGCTCCTTATACCGTGTGTCAGCCAATAAGCTGTCCCGCACCGTAGCAGCGAACATGTCCATCAATCGAACAGGTATATGTGTTGTGTGTTTAACAACTTCTGACCGTTGGCAGACTTAAAGGTGAAGTTCAAAGAGGACTAACAATTCACACAAACACCGTGGAAATTTAAAATGTGCCTGAATGAGCCTTTTCCTCTCACAAGCAGATGTAAAATACATTTTCCTAATTAAATTATATTTAAAAGAGACTTAATTTCCACCATTGTAATCTGAGTATAACAAGTGCACAAATGTGACCCCTTGCTTGCCCCTCAGTTCCTCCTATGCTGAATGACACTGTTGTCTTTTTTTTTGATTGGTTGCCACTTGCAAAGAAGGTTATAAGGTTATAACAGGAGGTGGGTAAAGCTGCTGTTGTTTGAGAGTGGTCCTCTCCTCAGCCACTTCTCCTACAGAGACATGGAGGCACGCCCACCCAACCCAAGATATAATCTCCTCAGCATGTTCTGCATCTTTCCTCGGGTCCTCTACCAGTTGGACATCCTAAAATGCTTCACGTAGGTGGTGTCTAGGAGGCATCCTCATGAGCTGCCCAATCCACCTCATCTGGCTTCCTTCAGTGTGAAGGAGTCCCTCCCAAAGAACCAAGCTCTTCCCCTGATTTCTATGACGGAACCCAGACACCCTTCAGTGTCTGGGGGATGCTCATTTTGTCTGCCTATCTCATTCTTTCAGTCACCGTCTAGAAGATGTGGCCATAGGTGAGGGTAGGAACATAGATTGGCCGGTAAATAAACCGCTTTGTTTCCACACTCAACTCTTCTCGCCTCTACTCTTCATTTGTTTTCTAGCTGCAGAAAATTTCGTTCTTAAAGTACAACACTTCTCACTGCTACAGTCATGGGTTTGGACATATTTCAGTTGACATAAAATTATACAGATTAGATACCCTGCATTTAAGACATTTAGTCCAAGAACATGGCAGTAAGTGTACAGAGAGTGTATATTCACATTTGTGGCTGTAGCTCTGTTCACATATCCTCTAATAGACTTAGGGGAACTGGCTGGATTTGCCATCTGAAATAATAAAGTTGTCATCTGTCAGAGAGGTGAGGGGGAGGGCCTGGAGAAGTGAATGGGGGAGATTAAAGCCTGGATCTGCCTCCACTTTCTTCCTGCTTCTCTACCTCTCTTTTACACATTCTGCTGTGACTAAAGCTGCAGGTGAAATTGAGAAGCTCCAATCAGTTCAGCTCGTGACCAGCATCACAACACAAATTCCTGCATCTAGAGACACGTCTCGGGTGTCTTCCAAGTAGGAGTTGTGATTTCACATCTTTGTAGCAAGCTTCATATTTGTTCTTGGTGCAGAGCCTCCGGACTGTAATCCAGAACACACGCTTGACAAGAGATTTAACAGCCAGAAAAGTGCCAAATTTAGAGGTCTGAGTAAGATTAACTGCCGTTTGTAACCACACCCTCCCCATCTCCTTGTCGTCTTATTCATTCCTCATTTTCCTACACTGTTTGTGGCGTGCATTGGGTACATAGTGTTTGTAATATTCTCAGACAGAGCTGGATGACGCATTTGGATTTGGCACTAATGCGTCAAACCACCCAAGTATAAATAACCAGTCACATATTTAGTTTTTATTGCTTCTGGCTATGCAAGGGCACATACAGATAGCTTCCTTTCTGTCATATCTATTGTAGATACTTTGAATACTTTAAAATTACTTTAAAATTGTTAAATTTAATGCAAGACTTAACATCAGAACAAAGCATTTTATAGAATTATGGTAAACAAAACCAAAAGCTACCCTTAAATCTTCATTTATATATGTGCTGGTGTATTTATTATTAGGACGACTAATTGCTTGTAGATGGTAGACATAAAGAGAAATGGATTAGAGACAATCTTGAAGGAAGAATATGTGAATATTGTTGTGGAGGTGAAGCATGTCAGACAAGATCATGAGTTTGAAAGGGTAATGTTAAATGTTGCCAGTTCATTGGCACCACAGATTAGATGTCAGTCAGAAGAGAGAAAGGAATTCTAGAGTAAGTTGGATGAAGTGGGAGCGAAGGGTGATTGGAGCAGACTTTAATGGACATAAAGGTTCAGCAAGGAGTTGAAACTGACTCTGGATGGTAGGGAAGACTTACCAGATAGAAAAAGATGGAAATGTTTTAACAAGTGAAGAGAGGTTATTGAAAAATAGAAGGAATGCTTTGAGGAGCTGATGCATGACTAAAATGACAGTGAAGAGGGTGGCTTTTCAACAACAAGGGTGATGTGGAGAACTGTGGTAACTACAGAGTAAAAGGAGTTGCATTATGTCTTTGTGGCTCTCGAGATATGATAGCGTACCAAGACAAGAACTGTCGTACTGGACGAGGAAGTCGGGAGTAGCAGAGATGTATGTGAGGCTAATGCAGGACATGTATGAGGACAGTGGGACAGTGATTAGGAGTGACAGACGGGTTCAAAGTGGGGTTTGATTATATCATGTTCTAAGTCCCTTCTTGATTGTTGGGGTGATGGACAGGTCAACCACTGTGATCAGGCAGGAGTCTCTGTGGACTATGATAATTACAGATGACACTGTGGTCTGTAGTGAGATTAGGGAGCAGGTGGAAGGTGTTGGTGTGACCAAATTGAATGCTAGGGATGGAGTGAGATGGAGTGAGATGATTCACTGTGGTGACCCCTAAAGGGAGCAGTTGAAAGAAGATAATGATGACAATAGATTTCTTTTAGATAAAAGTGATGTTCACCCCTTTTTTTCAGTTTCTAATCAGTTTGTGTGAAAGCATTTTGTAAAACAGCCAGATGTTTTTAGATTTTACTTTACATTTTTATGAAAACGGTTTGATGCTGAATTCAGTTATTTTAGGTGGGGAAGTGGCATTTATATATTGTTCATATATAAGCAATTCCTGCATCTGACAACTATAATAAAGCCATGTTCTTCCTGCCCCCACGTGAGTTCTCTCCACGGACTCTGGCTTTCTCTAACAGTTACTTTTTCACATGGGTCCAGGTAGCTTTTATCCTCCTAATGAATAAATAAATCCTAAATCATCATTTAAAAACTGCAATTTGTCATTACACGTTTTTTATTTGTCTAATGTTAAAAATTAAAGTGTGACAAACATGCAAATGAATAAGAAATCATGGTGGGGGAAATGCTTTTTCACAGCACTGTAGGCTTTCTTTAAATCACTCATTTGTTTCTTTCCTCCACATCTAGGAAGGTCTTCATGCTTCCAGGTCTCCCACATGGTTCCCGCCATGGCCAGACCCTCCAGCACTCGTCACTTAGCCAGGTAGTGCTGATAGCTCCCATCTCTAATCATCAGACACACATATACAGAAATGGGCATGTATGCAAACCATCCTGTTTACTCGAAATCTTATCCAGCTAGGGCTTTTGCATTTGAGCCTCTGCACTCTCTCTCTCTGCACTAATATTATTTGCTTTTCATGACTGTCAACTAAGAAATGAAGCCTGAAGTAATTTTGTAATATTAAAATTGTATATTAAGATTGTTATATAAGTACCTTTACCCAGAAATGCTCGCAGGGTGTTAGCTGCGAGTTTAATCCTAACCTAGTTTGTTATTTAGTTACTACCAGCTGGTTATTACTTACTGTGCTTTGTGTGTGTTTCATAAATTCAGCCGTGCAGTCCAGCGGAGTCTTGCCATCATTCGCCACGCTCGTCAGAAGCAGCGGCAAAAGCAGTACTGCATGTACTACAACCGCTTTGGCAAATGTAACCGTGGAACCAGTTGCCCCTTCATACACGACCCAGACAAAGTGGCGGTCTGCACCAGGTGACTCAAACACACACTGACATCCAGGCTATAGAAGTTAAATGCAAGGTAGAGTTGTGAATTACTCGCTCTGACCTTACAAATATCGTGGAGACTCGAGCACAGTATCGCAGGATGACCACACAGTCACTGCAAGAGAACAACATGACTCAACAGCAACTTGATTTTTGTGCATCATTTGTTGAGTGTTTTTTGGTTGAATTTGGATGTTTAGAGGCTTTGACGAAGCAGGTTCAGCTTTAAATTTGTAGAGCTTATTGCTTTGTATACTGTGGATTGTGTGTCTTTTTTTTTTTTTTTAAACGAATGAGTCCCTGCTGTAATTGGCATCTATTTTTCAGCTTTTAGCTGTGTCCATAGTGAGTATCTTTCCCTCTGCACCATCTTCTGAGCATTTCACTGGACAAGTTTACTAAATATACTCCGTAGAGAAACAGCATATGCTCCTATGTGCATCTTTTACATGGACACTGCAGTAGAAATAAGAGACTGTTTCCTTTATTATTACTGGTTAACTTGACTGTCAGCAGTGAGACAAGAGCAACCAGGGATCTCATGGTAGAAATAAATTAGTTCTGATCAAAACTGTAGTCAACAATAAAAACAAGCCTGTTCACCAATTCACCAATAATTTCAAACAACATTGTTTTTGCATTATCTGCAGGTTTCTGAGAGGGACATGCAAGCAAGCAGATGGTACCTGTCCGTTCTCCCACAAGGTGGCAAAAGAGAAGGTAACGCATGCACACAGACACATGCACACACCAACACACACACACTCTCACTCATACTGGACAACATAATTTATAGCATTTCACTGCAAAGGGTTGGGTATAGTGTGAAACTATACGATGACACATTTTTGGTTACAGTCATCATGGATCGTATTTACACTCTTGGCATGCCTCCTGTTTCCATGGCACTGACAGGAGTGAGGAAAACCTGACATGATTGTGGGGCGGAGTAGGGGTGGGGGGTCATGACTAAACAAGCAGCTTAAATGTTAGATGTACAACCTGTTCAGCTGTTCCATCTGCAAACCAGCTCCTATCTTGGAAATCTGTGAGGGGCTGTCATGGTTTTAGTTGGATTATTGGTTTTCTCTAATGTGAGAGTGAATTGCAGTTTGTAACAGCAACATGGAACCTGAACGCCTCCTCATATCTCCAGGTTATTGCAGGAGAAAAACGGAACTACCCTGCAGGGGGGTCGTGTGAGTGGTTTGATGGGTATTAGCTAGACTGATTAAAGTGATAAATGCGTTTGAAATAATATATTTTCCACAGGTTGAGTTTGGCCAAATCTGGTGCTCTTTTTTTTTTTTTTTTTATGTCTGATCTGGATCTTTTAGGAGGAAAAACAGCAATTTTGTCTACTAACTACTGTGAACAGATAAAGGTTTTGCATCATATCTTCAGTACATCTAAAAATGGGGGGAAAAAATATTTGAGACATTATCTTGATTTTCTCTTGAAAATATTACACACCAATCTGGATCCACAAACACAATTCATCTGTCGTTTGGAGGATATTGTCACCATGGCCAAGATGTGCAGTATATGAATGTTCTTGTAGCCAGTTTAAAAGAAAAATAGATACATTTTATTTGTTCACCAACACCAAACAGGGAAAGTGTTGAAACTAAAAAAGGGAAAGCTTTTTTTCCTCTCTCTTTGAGACAAGTAGCCCTCCAACAGGTGCTCTGCTGCCTCACCCTTCACACACACAAAGCTCTGCGCACGTGTGTGTTGTCACACCGCTGCCTGTAAGTGCTGAGAGCCCAGCTGTCTATTTGTAATGCCAGCTTCCCCCACACCCAGACCCCCACCCCAAGCCTTTGGCCCCTCCCTTCATGGGATACACCCGCTCTGATTTCATGCAGTTTCCTTAAGCAGGACTGTATGTGGACAGAAAGGGAGTGCAGGCTTATGCAGCTAGCACCCCTCCGAACTTGATCCAGGCACTAGTGTAGAATCCCAATTCCTGCACCCCACCGTCCAGTCTCCCCATTACCACAAATACTTCGAAACCAAATACCCCTGAACCAACTCCACCTGGCATGGCCCCCCAACAACCATCTCGCTCACCACTTGCTCTCCACCCTTGGCTCAGTCTGAGCACACATCCAGTTCACATAAACAAATAATGAGAGCTGGACGAGCTTCAGCCTGGATAAATATTTCTGTAGCAGTTAATTAGGTAGAACTGATCCTATCTCAACGAGGTGGAGTTCCTCTCACAATCCGCCTCCTCTCTCATCTTTCTTCACCGAATCCCCCTCAGAGGTATATTTAGACCGGTCACCACCAGGCTCACCCCTGCACCCAAATCAGTCGATCTCTCTGCACACATGCTGTCAAGACACACATTCACTCTTGCTCCGCTGCTGTCAACTGCAATTAAGGTCATTTAGCTGCTCGGTGTGACAGATCACTTGGCACACGGGACACGTCTAGTGGTGGTTTTAAGAACTGCATGTCTGTTTATAAAGTTGTATAATCTCATGTCACCTCATCAATCTGCCTCTCTGTGATGATGGTTTTACATAAAACACTGCTGTGAAATTATGTATTGTCATTGGGTTCTCTAATTCATAAACCATCCTCCACACTTTACTTTCTGCTTGCATGTACTAAGCACTGTGAACATTTGTCAGGTTCACATGGTATACACGCACATGTCTGTCTCTTCCCAGATGCCGGTGTGTTCCTACTTCCTGAAGGGCATCTGTAACAACAGTGACTGTCCCTACAGTCATGTCTACGTGTCCCGCAAAGCTGAAGTGTGCCAAGACTTTGTAAAAGGCTACTGTCCTGAGGGAGAGAAGGTAAAAACTCAAACAAATGCACAAAAACATTTTTAATTTGTTAAAGGGCATTAGATTTTACAGACTCTATGCCACAGTTTGTTTATGATCGCAGCAGGTTCTATCATGATGGTGCGTTGGTAATCTATAGATTTTACACAGAGCTTTTTAAACCCATGTCCACATGGTGTAGGTATCTGCTGCACACTGCACATGGAGCAACATCACAAATGTGTGAAACAACATCATTTGCACTTGAGCTGTTCATTAGTCCCTGCAGTCTAAATGACAGAAGTCAAAATAGACAAAAAGCTTCTTTCGGAGTGAAAATGAGTGTTTAAAAACTCCTCACTCCAGCTACCATGTATGCTTTTGGGATCTCTGATGTTTTTTGTTAATGTTTCACTCTCTTCATGGTGAACTTGGCTGTTTCTCTTTTCTGTTTAAGCCAATTTTTGAAGTAAGTAATCAGAATTGAGTCTGGATTTGGCGTTACTGCCATCATTCTGCTTTTTGCATTCAGACTACACTGATAGAATTTGCTCAGTGGGTAAGCATGGATTCATGCTGAGTTAACTTCTCAAATTTAGATGTGAAGGTGACGTCTGTTTTAAAGCCATGACTGCCTGACCAGATTTAGCTAGGAAAACAACATCCATGAATGTCCGGTGCTTGGGGGCCTGTCACTTTTGTACTTTCTCTCTCTTCATTGGTTGAGCTGGATGTTGTAGGGACACCTTTTGGCCGGTTATCGGTGCAGGTGAGATTAGAGACACGTGCAATGATCAGTTGAAACTCACAGGTTTAACGTGGATCACAGGGTAAGTCTAAATGAAATGATGGAAACAATAGATGACAAGTATATGATCTTGGTTTTATTTGAACTTGATGTTATTTGGCTCTAAATTTGGTTTCAGTCCTGCACTGACGCTGTTATCTGATTTCAGAGTTCTTTCTTTAAGCTGTGCTCCTCAATTTGAGCATACGGATTGTATAACATGTATAAAGTTTCCCTGAACTTAAGGCTTAGGTAAACAAGTGGTTTCACCCCCCCGAACACACACACAGAAACGCACATGTACACACTGACACACAGGCAGGAACAGCTGCAGGGGGTGGTGGTCCATAATGGCATAACTGTAGTGTCTGAGTGACACATTGAGGGTCTGATGGGTAAGAAAACCACTTCCACAGAACTCACGATCCTTAAGTCACCACACGCACTCGCTGCCCTCGTGTCAACCTCAAACACACCCTCCACTCCTGCCCCCACCCCACCACCTCCCACCCCACCCTTGTGTTTTTGCATCCATCTCCGGCTCCCTTCTCTTCGTTGTGCTTATTTTTGAGTGTGAAACAGATGCTTTTTCACACTGTCAGACCTCATTTAAATATTGCATGGGGAAATGAGGATATAGAAAACAAAAGGGATATTAATATTTATTCTATTAGCTGAAGTGCTTAGGTCTGTGATTTTCCCCAGTGTGTGTTTGTGCCTGAGTGCGTGTGTGTGTGTTTATAGAGCGGTGCGCTGAGATGCTCTGGCGGCTCTATGATGGATAGCAGGCAGTAATTATAGATGGGAAAACTGCTGAGGATGGCACTATGGGCCAGGCAGGCAGACACTTCAGCATCTCAGGGGTTAAGTCTGCTCCTGTCCTCCATCCTCCATCCTCCTCCCCCTTCCTCATCCTTCTCCTCGTAGACCCACTACCATCCTGTATCATCCCAGTGTTGTCTCATGTGCACTCCCCTTGCAGCTCTTTCTCTGCTTTCCTAAATTTCTCCACTGCATCTTACTCCCCGAATTTAATTTTTAGTTGGCTGTAGCTCCTTCATGAGGTCTATCTTCTTCCAGGTTTCTTAACACATGAAACTCACAGTCACCTGTGATTGTTGGCCGTGGCCAGTCATCCATAGTTTTTGGAAGATTGGCTAAATAGTTGGCTTTCATAGGCTCTTCTCTGCTTCAGGTGGTTGAAACAGCATCTGAGCCATTGTGCAGCAGAGAGCTGTCTCAGCTGCTGTTTGGCCTCATGATAACGAAAGTGAATTGAGCCTTTTTATATGCATCTTCTTCCCACCAGCGGGGGAAAAACTGTATATATGCTATTGGTTTGCTCTCAGCTTCAGTCTTTCCTTGTCTGTTCAAGTGAAAATAAAAATAAATATAGGAAAAAAAGAGGAAAACAGAGAAAAAGTAGATATAAAATGTAGAAAATGATGACAAAGTTAAGGGAACAAGCCCATAAAGATGAACGAACATAACTGATTTGACTTTGGTTACCAGTCAGGATCATGTTCTGTCTGTCCTCTCTAAATTCATTGTTCAGGGTTAGATTGTTGATACAGAGTTCCTCTGTTCAATGATAAAACATCTTGAAGTTTGCTGTGTGTCAGCACACCTGGGTATGGGCCAGGACAGAGCCCAGTGAAAATCTCTAACATTATTTGGCGACTGCAAAACAGACTTTGCTCAAAAACTGCTCAAGGTTCAGTTTTCTTTTGTTGTTTGCTGCAAGACTTCATGTGGTTTGTTACTAATCTGCTACATAGAACCTGACTGAGTCCATCTTATAGAGGTAAGCATATCCAGGGTCAACACTTCGGTTTGAGCTCCTTGATGCACGGCCTGAGAGAAAGTTGGTTTAGTGTGTGGATTTGGGCCCTATGCAGCTGCTTTAGAGAGCACAGCCTCTCTCACTGTGCGTTGTCTGTCTTGGGCTTCTAGTGGCGATGTTGTGTTGGTCTTTGAAATTGGGCCACGCTCCAAGCTTTAACAACCCACTTTTTCTTGTACTGTGATATCCTGAATTTTTCTTTAACATTTGTTTTTCGTTAGTAAAAACTCAAAGGTTTGTCTTGATGCAGTTGTGCTGTTTATATAGTTTATACAGAGATAAGTTCTGGTCTTGGAGGACTCGCTTGAATTTCACATCCTTGCCAAATCCTGACACCAGGTGAGCAGATATTCCTAAAGATGTCGGAGCAGCTTTTATTTCCTCCTATCTAAATGATCATTTTGTAAATTAGTGAGCATCAAGAATGTTTGCTGTACATAAACGATAAACTAATCACAGGCAAAAAGAAATTAGAATTGTGCCCAACAAGTGAAGCCAGGTTCCCGTCTTATTGCTAAAATTCGATGCAACAGGAGAGCTTTGCTCATTCTTTGGCCTAAGCCTTCTGCATCGGCACTCTCACTGCATTATTGAAATAAATTAGGAGGATAGTAATGTCGATCTGATCACAGCCTGAAGTGTAGCGACATGGTAAATTCCTCCTTTTTCTCCCTTTTTCAGTTTGTAATCTTAGTAATATGTCAACCTGTGCTCAATTATTGTTCTCTTCCATTCGCTGTAAGTTGCTCTCAACGATTGTTGGCTTAATGCCCAAGTTGTAAATGCATATGATATCCTCTTTTTTCATTTTACTGTCTTTTCCATCTCCCACCCTCCCTCCCTTCTTCTCTTTCTTGCTTCTTTTGCGCCTTCTTTCAGTCTCTTGGTAAATGTGCTGACTCTTCCTGGTTTCGGCCCAGCAGAGAGCTCTCTAATAGGCCCCAGAGACATCCCAGCATTCCTTAAATCAAGTGGAAAATTGTTAACTTGGTGTGGGATAAAGATGTTCTGTCCACTTTAGCTCTTTTCTCCCATTTCGTCTCTTACTCTCTCTCTCTTTCTTTCTCGCTCTTTCTGTCTTTTTATGAAAATGAGGATATATGGAGCTTCAGGAAAGACGAGTGAGCTTTTACAGTCCATTTCTCTGACACTTTGTTTCAATACAACTACCTCCCTGTTTTAACTCTTCAGTTTTAACACAGCCTAGTCCTGAGGACTCTGTCCTCTTTCTTAATTTATAGATACGTGGCAGTTTTAAGAACTTTGATAATAGGGTTGCGAGCACATGCTGCGAGAAGTTGATGTATGTGTGAGACATGATCCTTTTATCACATACGTTGTGTATTTAGATGTGCAGAGTTTCCCATCTCTGCATAGCTGATAACTGATCCTAGCTTTCTTCCAAATGGTTTTATATAAGCAATATGAAAGAAAGTTAGAAGTCAGTGTAAAATGTAAATCACAACACAATGCTATAATCCAAAAATCATTAAAGTCCTGTTTTTAATTTTAACTGATGAAAAAAACAATACATCAATTTGATAAAAAATGGAATTATTTTTGAAAAATATAATATATTTCAAATATGAGACCAGTAACACATTTTTAAAAAAAACATGTGAGCAAAGGGAAAACAAAAGAAAACCAGTTATCCCTTTGCACAAGTGGTTATTGTATAATTATTATCTGTCCATCCATCTATTTTCTCCCTCTTATTCACTGCAGTCGCAGTGGTGCTGGAGCCATCCCAGCTGTCACAGGGCAAGAAGCAGGGTACATCCTTGAGAGGTCACTAGTCTGTGGCAGGCCTAGAGACAGACAAGCATTCACACTCACACCTACAGCCAATTTAGAATCACCATTCAACCTAACATGCATGTCTTCAGACTATCGGAGGAAACCGGAGTACTTGGAGAGAATCCACGCTGGCACAGGGAGACCCTTATCCTGCCCAGAACCCTTTGATTGTAAGGCAACAGTGCTAACCGCTGTGCCACCCTGTGTAATTATTAAAAGGAAAATATCAAATGTAATTCAGATTAGTGGGTAACAGTTCAAAGCTTTGAACTGTCACCCACTGAAAACATTTAGTAACTTGCCAAATTAAAAACATCATGAAGCAAGCTCTGAAATGTTGAGACACTGTAGTCTTTAAAAGAGGAGATTCAGCACATGTCCATGTTTCAACTTTTTTTTCAAACCTCTTTTTGGCATCTAAAACAAATGGAGCGCGTTGATTTTTTTTAAAAAAAAATACAATTTATAGTTTTGACATTAGATTTGTTCTTTCTGTAAATGCAAATCATTTCATTTTGTTTTTATTTACGTTTTAAATAGTGTTAGAACAGCACTGAGCACTTTATCCGCTACCAAACTTTCTGAAAAATTTGGAAACTCTTATTATAGCTAAAATATTTGCTCAAATTTGATGTCACAAGAGTCATCCAATATCAATGTTGAACTGAAAACATGACGTTTATATGTGTTAGGTAACTTCTGTCTCTTATAAACCAACTGTTTGCCAAATAGTGACAATTATATTTGTTTTGGGACTAATAAAGTCTTTTAAAAATACAAATAGTATGCTTAAAAAGTGCATAACAATGTGCTTTTTGCAGCTACCATCTGCTTTAAGTTTTTATAAAGCAGAGACTTGTTAAATTTGGAGAGCATTAAAGCAAGTCTGTGATTAGTCAGGCAGTTTACCTGCTCGGTGCATGCTCAGCTTAATGCACAGCATCACTGCAAACAAAGCTGTGGAAGTGTAAGAGAAGTTTGTGGTTTTGCAAGCCTTGTGAAGACTTGCCAGTGTTTCCGTCCATTTTGGTAATTTACGTCAAGTGAAAATGCAAAACAAAATCTGTCAAAGTCTGAAAATCTAGTAATTTGTATATTATAGTAGTATAACTTGAATCTCTTTATAATTGCAGAATTGTTTCAGTACCCGTAAAAATGAGCTGAATCTATTAAAATGATGCCTTGTGGTACATCATAACAGGAGACCTGTTAGGTTTCATGGTGGCATCATGCACCAAATGGGAATCGTCATTATGGGCCCCAGTAGAGGACCTGATTTGTTTAGAGAAATGTGACAAAACCGCAGCCCTATAAGATGATCCAGGGAAACATTTGACAGCAAGCTGATCCTGGGCCGACCTGGCACCAAGAGGTGCAGGAACATCAGTGTGAGGATGGTGAGAGGAGCTCTGATGGCAGCAAGTCAGGGCCACTGGGCTCCAGAGAGAGTTGACCAAGAGTCCACAGTGTTCTTGGAAAATCAATCCCAAGATCCCTCACCCCTCACCCCTCTGCCCTACACACACACAGACACACCAAACCTTGGTACACGCTATTTCTGGTGTGCTTCCCAGTCCTGCACTCGTCACCCCTCCACAGATGCGCACATACACACACGCGCGCGCTCCCTGCAGCCTGTACCCCAGAGTGAATATAATTAGCTTTTCTGACAGGTGGGAGGGATCGGATCTCGTGGAGAATGAAGCTACCAATTTACACCCGTATTACACTGTCATACACACTCACTTGCAAACATGCATCGCTCTCTCTTGCACACTACTCCCCAGAATGACTCTGACCCACTTTCTCAGCTTGCACGTAAAAAGAGACGGGTGGCACAGACATAGTCTCTTTAAAAGAAGTAACTTACAAAGGAGGGTCATATAAAGCACCTAATCAGGAGGTGGGCCTCACTTTTACCACTTAAAATCCTGTCATAGGCCTGTTCAGTATATGTGAAATCAGCTGACTACTCAGAAATGGATTTCTGTCTTTTACGGTTTCCTCTCAGATCTTAAGATTGAGCCATTAAAATGACTAAAATGCTGTACAGGTCTTCATGAAGCAGTCTTTAATTACATCTCAAATAAAGTGTCATCTCTTACTGCGTTTTTATACTGGTGCTGATAGTAACTTCAATACCACTACAAATACAGAACAGTGTTGTTTAATATTCCAAGCTGCCAAAACCGAGTTTCATAATGTTTTAGATTAGTAAAATTTTGTATCACATCAGGAAGAAAAATAAACTATGGTCAGAAATTCATTACCATCCTCCAATAAGTGAAAGTCTTTGATACTTAAACTATACCAGTCTGCCCCTTTATTTATGCCACCTGCCTGAAGTCCCTCGCATGCTGCCAGAAAGCAAACTGACTTGTTGGGCATTGACGCCTGAAATCTGTGAGGGGTCCTGTGGTTTCTGGCACCAGTAACATAGGAGCAGATCTTTGGGAGGACTGAGTGGTGTGTGTGGTTCCTGGATTTGAGATGTTTTGGGGTGTAGAGTGTTTCTCTAAGAGACTTGAACCTGAGGAGTTAGAACGTGTGGCCCATCCCAGACAAAGTCAAAACAAAAACACCCCCTTAAATAAGTGGTTGCATTATGCAGTACAATCTCAAGATTGATGACTGTAGTGACAAGCATGACAGTAGTCAGCGTAATATGAATATTTAACATGTCTCTTATGTGGACAGACAGACTTAAACAAATAAAGGTACACATGTTTTATAGATGTTAGACATTAATCCACTCATATTGACCATATTTGTGATCACACAAGTTGTCACTTTCTTCATGTCTGCAGTGAAACTACAAACCTGATTGTGTGTGTGTTTTATTATCACCAGTGTAAGAAGAAACACACTCTAGTGTGTCCAGACTTCTCTAAGACGGGCTCCTGCCCACATGGCTCACGCTGTAAGTTGCAGCACCGCCAACGAGTCAAACGCCGCGCCAGCAACAGTGTGACCCCTCCAGCTAAGAAAGCACGCACCAAGGATCCTCTGAAGAGGTCTAAAATTTAAATTGACCTTTATCATGACTTGTAAAACTTTGGTTATGTGACTAATTATGTTTTGTTTTGTTGGCTTTTTCCCCCCCTTCTGTCAGACCCCATCTGTCTGTTGTGATGCCACAGGATTCTCAAGCATCACTGGGGATGCCCTCCGCAGGTTCGTTGGTGCTGCCCTCATTTATCTCCCTCTCCAGCTCTCCGGAGGAGGCAGATGCACCAGACACGCTTCCTACTGATGCAGTGCAAGTCAAAGGTATAAGCATCAACAACAAAACCCAGAGAGAGCAATGGTCACATAAGTTAACAAAGTGCACTGTATGGACAAAAAATACCGAGTCATTCATATTACAACTACAGGAGCTGCTAGGCCAAAGAAACAGATGTCATGAATCCCTCAGTTCAGTTTTTGTCGTTTATAGTTATTAAATCAGCAGAGAGTCAGTGACTTTTACAACTCAGCACTCTGAAACCCCGCTCTGTAACTTTACGTAGTGTTACACTTCCTGTGGCTCATTAACACTTAACAATTAAACTGCTTACAGCTGATCGTGAGATATCTTGGAGAGAAGACATGTCATGACCTGACTTGTTGCAATGGTGGCATCCTATTACAGTATCAGAACAACCTGTTCTTTCACAAATGTTTGTAAGGGCAGACTGCGTGGCTAGGTGCTTGATTTTATACACCTGTGGCAATGGGACTCAATTCAATGAACACCTGAATTCAAACATTAAGAGGTTTGGTAGAGAAACAGTCTGACTGATGATTATTGAGGAGCCAGAAGGGACAAGAATAACCTTCTGGCTCTAATAATGCAGTCATTGCTGCATTATTTTTGCTTTTTTGCTTTTTATACCGTAACAAAGATTTTGCACTATAAATTGATGAGTAAAGGTGCATAGGTCTCAGTAAGCACTTAAGTCACTTTTTTTTTTGGACAGTTGGACGCAATTTTTGGAATTTTATCTCTGTATACCACCTTGATTGTTTTTCGTCAAATAATTAAGATGCAGTTGATTTGCAGTCCCTAATTTTAGAGGTTCAATTGTAACTGAATAACTGATGGACAAACAGTTTCATGGAGTCCTATTCTGTCATTATCTCGTGGCAAGCTGAGCAGATTAAATATCTGGAATTTATTCCAAGTGTTGCATTTGTTTGGGTCACTTTTCACTGAAGCTTTCAATATCAAGCACATATAGATTTAGATGTGAGAGAGGCAGTTCACTACACTGGAAAACCAGAATAACCATATCAAAGAGAGAGCCAAACTTTGGGAATCATAAAAACAAGTAATGTACTGACCCTTGGAAATGTGGCCTGAATAAGAATGAGAGACAAATAAAGTAGATTATCACTGTATATTCCTATAATTAAGAAAACCCTGATCTTTTAATCTCCTGCTTCACTCCCTCACTCATCAAGAAGACCTGGAGATACATAAGTTTCTCCACTTACAGTAAAAACCTGTGGTGGATTCAAAGAGGGCACTCAAGCCTTTTCTGACTAAGAACCATGGTCTTGGACTTGGAGGTGCTTATTGTCTTTCCCCTCACTTAGCGTTAAACTGCTGCTGTACAAGCTGGAGGTCACCACCTCATGAAGCTAATCAGAATCAGCATATTTTATTAATCCCTAAGAAAATAATTTGGGTTACAAAGAACCATATCAACTATAAAAAGCAAAGGCCATCAGAGGTAATGTCTACCACCTGGCTATGCAGGGCTCTAGACTAACATTTTGCCACGTTTGCACTGGCGCACCAGTACAAAAGTTAGGCGCACCCAAATTTTTAACCCGCATCACTTAACACCGCAGTTTTACATGTGCACTTTTTTTTTTGGGGGGGGGGTCCATATTGTCCATACAGACAATATGGACAATGACAATAGACAATGATTAACTAACAGTCTTGTCAACACAAAGTTCTTTATTTGGAGCACAGTTCTACAAGAAAGATAAGTTACTGAAAAAGTGCTTGTGCTTAAAGTGTTTTTTTATGTGCTTAAAGTGTTGTTTTTTTTATAGCAGATAACCTTAAACATATTCTGCAATTTTGCATAATTTTAAAAAGTATAAATTTCTTCAGTATTGAACAGCAGAAATTAGGCTCTCTTGCCCGAGGTTATTTGAGTTCTAAAAAAATATATATATATATATATATATATAGACGACGGCCGACAGCGCTGTAAACAACGGTAGACTGGTGTGCAATAAGCGAATGAATAATGCTGTTTTGCTTCATGGTGGAAGCAAAACAGCAGAAGTCAGAGGGAATTAATGACGACATTTATCAAATGTGAAGCACAGTTTGGATCTTTTGCTGCTGGTTCAGTGAATTTTGGTTGGAGAGAGACAAAACCTGCAGCTCAGAATCTAGCGCAAAAAAAAGATGTAAACGCAAAGCGCGGACCCGCCGACACATCAGAATCAGTGAGCTGTCGGCTTCCAGCCCCAAGGGCGTGTCCGTGTACGTGCCATCGTGTGAGAAAGCCGAGAAAGAGAAAACTGATTCTGATGCGTCGGGTCCGTGCTCTGTGTTTACGTCTTTGTGCAGAATCTGCTTACCTGCTCTCATTTGCTGTTTGGTGGTTGTTGAAATAGTTTTGTGAGCGTTTCTGGCAAAATACATTTATATTTAAAAGTCGATTCAGGATTTAATGAATTGATATCGCTTTATTCAAGCTACTCACCTCCCTCTATCCACCTGCACTTTTGAACGTACACACAAAGGACTACAGAAATATCTGGACCACGGCCAATCAGAGAGGTCCCGCCGCTGACTATCTCTGATTGGTTTAGACCGCGATAGAGGCATAATGTGTGTATGTTGTTGACCACACAGAGAATCGAACAGCTGTTGGTTGCACCGGTGCAACCTAGAATTTTTGTTAGTCGCACCATTAAAAAATGTGGTTGAATTTGCAATCAAATTGGTCACACTCTAGAGCCCTGCTATTCCTAGATATTCTGCCAGTTAAAAAATATGAACAGATTCAATGAAAAGGGGCAGTCTCACTGCGGCTGTACAGGGGCCAAATGGTGCTTTATAACAAGCCGAAGTGCCTCCACCGGATACTGCGATGTCCAAGTCAGTAAGATATATGTAGACTGTGCAAAGTCTTCTCACAAGGATAAAGAGCTTGTCCAATGTTCTGCGACCAGGACAAAAAAACCCTCATTGTTCCTCCTAAATCTGAGGTTCAACTAAAGGATGGACTGTCCTCTTGAACAGGGAAGCCACCATTCAGATCTGCTAATCCAAAGGCACCGCCCTAGATTTGTATGCAATGTTGCAGAGACGTGTCATAAAAGACAGCCTCACAACATCCAGAGTCTTAGGGAATTGAGGGCGAATCTCATATACCTTCAGTTGAAGTCAGCAACATCCCAACCCCACTGTATGCAGTGTGATTAGAGTGCTGCTTTTCACTCCTGACTCGTCTGACAGTTTGCCAGAATCACTTTGAGGTCAATCGAAAGACCTGGTTCCATTGAAAGTCTCGCTGAACTCCTCCCACACCCAAGTTTTTGCTTAAGGTACTTCCAGGGCAGCAGCCCCCTTATCCTACCAGTACCTATTAGTTGCTTCTGGAGTCCCGCAGGCAAACAAAGTTCAATCACAATCAAAAAAAGGTGGTGTAAGGAGGCAAAACTGCAAAATGTGCCATCGTCCAAATACTTCTGAACCCATCTTTATGAACTATCTGAACTCAAAGCTTCTACACACTGGTTGTCCTGAATTGTCTTTTATTAATAGTTGTCCAGTCGTGTTCTGCTACAGTGATGTGCACACAATAATGTTTCATTCAATGTTGTGGTACTTCTAGATTTTTTTACAACCTTTTTACAACCATAGATTCAGAGAGTCCTTGTTACTTTCTTCATATCTCCAAATGTGGTAGAATGTTTAAATTAGCAGTCATGGCAAAAGGTAAGCTGTCATAGAATATTCCTTAAGAGGACTAACTGCGATTCATTTGGTGTAAAAGTGCTGACACAGAGGTGTATTGTCCACAGATGCTTTGTAGGAGGTTCTTTTTTGTCATGAATACATCATTGCTTAATTCGTGGGACTGGGGAGTGGTGGTCTGTCTGAGCTGTAGACAGATAATAATGATCAGGAGGTGAGCTTTAGAGTGTGTCTGGTGACGCTCAGTGGAGGAGTAATAATGCTCAGAGGACAGAGGTAATAATATTTCAGTTTATGGCTGGATGGCACAGCTGAGCTCTCTGTTGACAGACTTGAAAGATAGCGGATTAGGACAGAGGCCATCCCATCCCCCTCCCTTGCTTTCACCAGGCTTCACCCATCCACCTGCCCCTGCCTGCTAAACATACACATACTCACCAACTGGTTGTCACTTCCAGTGCAGCATTTGTTTGCATCTAACATCTGTGTTCAACCTGTTTGACCACACATTCCACAAACCTATCTTTTCACACAGTTTGTGTTATGATTTCACTCATTTTGTCTGATGATTTAAACAAGTAAAAGGCAATGGATAATTAAAAGTGACGGCAAAAATGACTGAAATTAGAATTGGACAGTTGGATAGTCCCCTTGCTCTAAGTATCCATTTAAAAATGACATTTTCTCCTTGATAAAGTCATCATGCTAAATAGTTCAAGTCATACAGAACCAGTCAAGACACTGAATATCAATAAGGCAGTTTTCTACTAAACAGTAGAAAACCACCATTTTTCTACTGTATATAATTTTAATATCACTCACTGCAATTCTAACTCAGCTATTGTGACTGAAGGCATGAAAAATGTTTTTGTCACTTTCACAGTGTGAAAAAACTGCTAAAAAGTTAGCTAAGCAAACTGTGGAAAAAATATGTAAAGTCTGTGTGCCACATGAAGACTTTACTTAGTCCAGTATGTTTACATAGAGTCATACATAGAGTATGTCTTGATTTTTTTTAAACTTTTTTTTTGAATGTATGATGACAAAATGATGTTTCCGTCAGTAAGTCGTTTAAGAAAGCCTAAGAAAGGTACTGCATACTCCTTTTATCAAATATAATCAAGCAACCCAGTTCATGCATAATATGGAGACCATTTTCAGCCTTGGCACAGGTACGCCGTCTCAGACTGCTCTTGCTGCCAGTTTTGATTAGCTGTTCATCATTTCATTGACTAAAGGGCCAATAAAAGGAGAAGAATCCTGCTGTTTGGGATTCTAATGACATGTCAACTTATGTCAGTAACTTTCACAGCAGCTTGTTCCTATTCCTGCTGCATATTCATAAAGCTGGTGTTTTTCACCTGAGAGAGTCTGTTTCTCATAACCATCCATCCATTTTTTTAAAAATAATATAGGATTACAGAGGGGAGGGGGTTGTCATAGTGCAAGATGCAGGGTGTATACCTTGGACTAACAAAGTCAGAGTACACTAACATGTCTGTGTACTCTGACTTTCTCCCACAGTCCACAGACATGCATCTTAGGTTACCTGGCAGTTCTAATTTTACCCCAGATTTGAGTGTGAATTACCTGTCCAAGGTGTACCGTGCGTCTTGCTCTGTGACAGCCCCTCAAATAACATACATTTGCCACACAGAAAGGCCCCAGCCTCATCTTACTTGGAATCAAGCAGCACCATTGACTGACCTGAGTCATCTTGACCTCTCACCCTATCCAGTAATACATAGTCCCAGTCCAAATATTTTTTAATAATAATCTTGCAGTAGACACTGACAGGTTTCAGCACGGCTGCAATTTTAAGATCTCAAAATAAGTAAAGAAGTCACAACGACAAAGTGCTCAGGCAGTTGAGTATGAACTGAAGATTATAAGTTATGTAAAGGTTTTGTTTTTAAAGGGGCTTTTGAAAACTTTTTGATTACTGCCTTCATGTACAAGCGGTTTATATTTCCCAGTGATTAGTTACAATAAAGGTAGTTTAGGTGAATCAAAATGATGGTGTAAGATGTTTTAAGATGGCTGTGGAGGAGGACAATGGAGAAGATTTTCGAAGGACTTCGGTGAGTATGGAAAGAAGTGTTATCAGCTGGAAGTTTCTCCTTGCAGAGTTCCCTCACATTGTAAGAAACATGTAGAATTATAGATTGAAGCGACTTAGAAACACCTGGAAACTAGAAATTAAAGAAGGTGCTGTTTTGTTTTGCGCTATGAAGAACATTTTAGACTAGAGCTTTGTCCTGTGGGTGCCAGAAAAACACACACACACAGACCATCACTGGCTCATCCGTCCCCCCCCGCTGTCCAGTTGGTTTGTGCTCTTAAGTAATACTAATGACACACTGGTCTCTCACTAACACACTGCACCGCCCAGAGCCTCATTAAAGGTGGAACTGAGCCAAACTAGTTCCTCTTCACTTTGCATAAATTAGCTCAGATGCAATGTATCACTGCCAGGCTACACACACACACACACACACATATTCCCACCTACCTTCATTCATCGCTGTTGTACTGTTCCTATCTTCTTCCTCATTTGCTCATCAACTGAGATGTCATCACTCAATGTTTGAGCAGGATTCAACAGAGTCAGTTGCACATGAGCAAACACACAATTTGTCATTTTCTAACTGAACCTTTTTGTCATTTAATTTTTGCAAATACTCTCTTTTTTTCCTCCTAATCTTCAGGGTGGTTTTTTTTCTTCCACAGAGAAAAAACTGCAGATCAAGCCTCGTCTGTAAGATCACAGAAACCAGTGGGACTGGACACGAAAGGATTTTATCAGGTTTAGTGTTATGTGAGTTCTGAGCTCAGGTTTGTCCTGGCACATGTATCCATCTTGAATGAGTTCACTCAGGGCCTGAAAGTTTTATGCTTTTTGTCTATGAACATCTTTTGCATATCAGTTAGATGTTTACAATGCCAGTTTTGTAAAGAAATAAAGTATTAACTCTGAATGTGTGTTGTCAGTTGTGTTTTTTGGTTAGATCTTTACCTTACAATCTAAAGCACTTTGGGATGACTGTTGTTGTGAATTGACAAGACAGAAATAAAACTGAATTGATTTGGAGTTGTGGTGTTTTGAAATGACCCTAGAGGGTTTGTGGGAGCTTGGCAGGTGGTGCCAACAAAAACGGTTTAAATTCTCGAGATGAGAAACATAAGCACACCTTCGCCACATTGTGTGTGCCTGTGTTTGGCTCCTAGCCACTACAGCTTTAACACATAAAGCAGAAAAGACACTTTCTCAAAGAGGCTGAGCGTCCATACACACAGTAAATGAAGTCATGCTCAGCTCCTACAGTGGCTGCACATCTGCAAGACACTTTGCAGCTCATCTCCACCCCAGCTCCTCCTTTCATACAGTGCCTTACTTATCAAGGTTCAAGGTTCTTTATTCGTCCCATACATAGTTATACAAGTATCTGCGCTGCTCTAGTCCGGCATCTCCTGGTGTAGGTGTCCTGAAGCAGGGGGAGAGCAATCCTGCAGCAGCCTTCTGCTGTACGGATCACTCTCTGAAGAGCTGTTTGGTCCTTAACACAGCTGTTCCCAAACCAGGATGTGATGTTCTATGTAAGGATGCTCTCCACAGAGATGTCATATCTGATGTCACTGACAGCTCCTCTGTTCTGTGCTGGGATCACGCTGCTCCTTTTCCTACATTTAAATTGAATGTATGCCCTGAGCTGCCAAATATGTAATATTTCCATTTCAAAAGATCTTTTGACTACAGTGGTCTTGACTGAAGTATACAAGCACACTCTTATAGACCACTTTGTTAGGTAAACCTATTCTACCTCATCTCTAATCAGCCAATCACATGGCTGTGACTTAGTGCACTTAGGCTTGTAGGAATGGACCTGTTTAAGTTCAAATGAAGCATCAGAAAGGGGAAGAAAGTAGAATATCTTGTTGCGGTATTACTGCTTCACATCTGTCATGAAACACTGTGGAGGAAAAGCTTTATGGACCCTAATGCAGGACTCTTGAGACAGGAATACACTTCAAACAAGCTTTAATGCTTCTTGCTCCAGAAAATCCCAAAGTCCAAAATCCAGATGATAATCGGGCACCACATCAAGGAATCCAAACATCCAGAAAATGCATTGGAAAGTCAGGGAAAGCAGAGCAAGGGAGACACACAGCAATGTGGACAACACAAAGAAGGACAAGGGCAGACTTGGACAATATATACACAAGAAGTAAAACTAATTACAAAGCACCAAAGACGCATGCCTTTCAAAATAAAACAGTAAGCAACTAAAAAGGAAACGCAAAGATGCATAAAAGAAAATACAATGGAGAAGATGGATTAAACTCAAAGAAGTAAATACAAATGAATACTTAAAATTTAAACAGCAGCCAGAATATAAATGGAACCAGAACTAAAGATTTAAAATAAATAAATAAATAGGATACTGATGTTAAAACACTGGATGAAAGACTCAGGACTATGTCAGTATCGTAGATGTGCAGCCAACAAATCTGCAGGAACTGTGTAATGCTATCATGTCAATATGGCCCGAACTTCTAGCTCACCCTCCGTACAACACACAATCTCTCACACACTGTATAGAGCTAAGATATTACACTTGTCCAGTATCTTATCTTGCACTTCTGTTTTGTTACACATATGTTCCTCTTGCCAAAGAGCTGTTGAAATCATTTTTATTTTATGTATGTATTTATTTGGTTTTTAAAGGTACACCATCACCTCAGTTACTTTAAAAAGGTAACACAGTTAATCTCCATGTTAACCATACTCAGAATATTCCTGTAATGTTGAAATCACCCCACCTACACTCCGAAGCCTCAGCACTGACATTGTGTAACACAAGCACTACTCTAATGTAGTATAGGATGCCCCCTAACACACAGTTAGGCACACTCTAAAGTATAATTATATAAGTATGATAATTATATTAAACCTGACTAAACCTATTTAGTCAGGTTTACTAAATATGGCAAAAAATTATTAACTCGAGGTCCACATGTGTTTTCATGTTTAAGTGTTAATAGTTCCCTCTGACACTGAAACAACCTTCAGCATTTACCTTCCAGCCATCTCCATTTTTGTAATAAAACTCAGTTGCATTGAATCTGTAACACACACATTTTTTTGTGTGTGAGTGTGAGAAGTGTGGCACCTTATCCTGTGGTTTATGAGGCAAACCTGCAATTTAACCAAAGCATTGTGATGGCAACAGTCAGTGTGACACATGTACTACTTCAGCGGTCCCCAACCCCCGGGCCTCGGACTGGTACCGATCCGTGAGTTGTTTGATACCGGGCCACGAGAGTTGAGGCTCGGGTGTGAAATTTATGGTTTTCAGGGCTTTTATCGGTTTTTAGTGTTATTTGTTTAACACTAAAATGTTTATCATTAACTTGATTTCCCTGGGTCTTTTCCCGTGTGTATGAATAAATCTTATTTTTTTTGGTACCAGTATTGGTTTTATTTTGTTGTATTTATCTGTGACACCTTGAAGGTCTGTAAAAATATTGTTGGACATAAACCGGTCTGTGGCGCAAAAAAAGGTTGGGGACCGCTGTACTACTTCATACCTACGTAGGACACCATAAATACACATACCAAAGGAAAACAATGGTGAACCTTCTGCACTAATTACAAACACTATTTCTAAACTTATTTTTTGAATTTTCAGGCACTTCTTACAGCTGCTTATGAGACTTGCACAGGACTGGGGAGGATTTCTGTAGTATCCCTAATACAAAACACTTCCCATGTTTCAAAACAGGCAAAGCAAACATGCTTTAGTCTTTTTTGTAGCTTTAATTTAATAGATTTATTTATTTTTTCTAACCAGATTTTAGAAAGTTACAGAGATTTCTGCTGGTGTTTTTCTGGGTTCTTTTTTTTTTTTTTTTATCTCTGTCCAGATTTCACTTTGAGCTCCTGGGTGATCTTTGCTGGAGACCCACTACTAAGGAAAAATAACAAGATCTGTATTTCCATCTTTATTTGAAACAACTGACTCAAAGTAGCTATTATGAGGTCACTGAGACCAGATACCCTATTATGTTTATCCCAGGTACACAACTCTGTAAGCGCAGTAGCCACACCTACATGTTGTTCAGACCATTTCTTTATGAGATACAACCAATCAGAAGAAAGCTGACTTACAGAGATATGAGCTGAAGCAACTTGTTTCAGAGGATGAATACAGTAAGTAAGGATTGTTTTAAATTGTGAATCATGAATAAATCTAATAACAATTATCTTGATGCATTCTCAATCATCCAGGAAAATAAATCTCCAAAA